GGAAACGGTAGCATAATATATTTAATGGATGACATTGGCCATGAAAAAAAATCCTGATTAAGCAACATTCAGTTACCTGTTGAAATAACTAAATCAAGAATTATACAAACAATGCTACTAAAAAGGCACGTACCTACTTACATACACTAATGGTTTATAAGTAAAAATAGTTGAAATTATAATTATTATCAAACTTTCTTCGCTTCAACGTTTATTAACTATAAAACAAAATATGTTTTAAAAAGTTGTACCTGTATTACGTCAGGTATCAGAAATATTAAAAAAATACAATAATACTGGATTTTAGTACATAAAAGGTGTTATCTTAGCAAGATTAAGACACAATACAGTCTATTTCAATTTGTTAGAATTGTGACCTTGAATAAATCTGCGCCAAGATAGAAAGAATGCACACTAGGCGTGAGTAAGACAGAAATAGTTGGAACAAGCTTGAACGAGCAGAGCTCTCGATGGGCGGTCTTAGGAAATCGGCTAGAACTGTACAGTACTAGACGAAAATGTTTAGCAATTTCTTAAAACAAAAATGTATATAAATTAGCAATAGAAAACAAAGCAAAAGTTTTATAGGTGTGTAGAACGTGTAGAAGTTAATTCACTTGTTATTATTTGTAGCTAAATATGCTTTTAAATAAAGCATATATCTACTTTATTATTTTTATTTTATCGAGACAGTTTAAATAATTTTGCAAATGGTACTGTAGACATTTGTCTAGTTCTCGCTCGGTGATCGGTGGAGAAATGAGCTCCGCAGGCAAATATGATTGAATTTGGAGTTATGCTACGGCGCATCCTAATAATGGGAAGAGGCATATCTCTAACTTCTTGAAACGAACAGTATGTACTGTAGGTTGGTAAGCCATTTACCATGACAGAGGTGGATAAACACCCCATCTGATATACAGTATATAAATCAATAAATTTCTTTAAAAATTCACATATAATAACTGTATATAACTGTACATATCTATTTATTTGAATAACTATTCCTTTCAAATCCATCAATGAATCCGAGATATTATAGAAATTATACAAGTATTTACAAAATTATTACTATTAATTTAAACTTTTATTGAAAACTCATAAAAAAATTTCTTACCGCTTCTTCCCACAACTACTCCAAGTTCAATTTGATTTTCAAGAAACTGTTGGCTGATTTCCACTACAAGATATGACTTACTAGCGTTAATGTTCTTTTAATGAATGGATCGATTTGAGTAAATGAGGTGGAAGCTTTCCGTGAAGGTAATGGTTCAAGAACTTGACCTTGCCCACTACTGCACTTACGTCTATTATTTGTTAAATATGCAAATGAAAAACTGTTCAGCACATAGCAGAATAGTCCTTAAACATTTGACATCTACGGGCTACTAATTGTAACACTCCACCATTCATGAGAGAATGCTATGGAGGGCTAGTGAATCAGGCCCCCGATTGCAGACGCTTTACAACGGAACTGTCATAACGGAAATAGAAGCGGAAACAGAAGTAAATAGTAAATTTTTGCAGAAGCGGAAGCCAAAGCGGATGCGGAAGTGTAATGATTTTAGGTGACTCTTTAATGCAGTGGTCGTACGTCCCTTTTTGAGAATATTTTGTTACAAATTTTGCAATATCAACACTTGCATCGTTAATATCAACAAAATAATCCCAAATGGAACTTGTTTTTGGCTTCAAAATTTAACTTTCAACTTACAATTGTATTAACTGTATTTTCGAAATGAAATTATTAGAACTGACTAAGGAGGATCTAAATATCTTGGACGTTTTTAGATTAAAGAAGGAAACTAATAAGCTTCCGTTATAAAAATGCGGAACCAGATGCTGAAGCGGATATGGAAATGTATGCGGAACTTCCGCAGAGATTTGTTGCAATGTTATTATCAAAAGGGCGCATTCCAAACGCACCACTGCGTCGAAGAGCCGCAAAATTGATTCTCGTTTAAAATCAGCGTGCCGAAGAAACTCTATCTGGCCCTGTTTGATCCTTGACGCTCCATTCGAACGTTCTAAACTGGTCCATGTGAAACGATACTAAATACTCGCCGTTCTTCAATGATTGACGACTTATTAACGCACGCATTTCATACGCGTCAATGCAAGACGTCATTAAATTCAGAAAACAAGACACATATTCAGCTCTGCAGTAAGGGTGGTACTGCTGCATTGAGTGTAAACAAAAAAAATGAAACAAAAGAGAAAAAACAATTGCAAATATTTCAATCGAAGATGGAGTGAATGGAAGAATAAAAAATAAGGTGTAAAATACTTTTAGACGCTGTTTGGTGTTTTTTTATTAGTTATAATGATACGGAGATAATGTACGAAAAACTTCCAACGAAAAAAGTTGTAATTTGTAATATAACAAATACTAGAGGTATATGACAAGATTCGGTTTTGTTTTGTTTCAAATACATTGCATTGATATAATCATTATGATAACTGATTGGATGCCTTATTGTTCTTAACCGTTTTTTTTTAATCTGTAATCATTCATTTTTTTATTAATTATTGTTTTTTACGTTAATGACTCACCTAAATCATCAAGATCAATTAGCTGGAAATACAATGGTTTTATACAGTTGCTAATCATTGGAAAATACGCACTAATTAACGACATTTCAAGAATTATTGTTTTCTAATTCCTAAGTGGCAGGCAATTAACGTTTCAACAACAAAAAATTATTTAAGAGAAGGAAAAATTTAATTTGCAGGTAACACGTAGCTTTTTCGGATATTTATTACAAAATGACACAAATTTGTAAAATTAACTATTTATTTTGTCGTTAAGGCAGGTAAAATTTAATTGAAAGTAATGCATAATCAAAACCAATAGAAAATACCTCAAGTTGCATTAATTCTACAAGAACTTCGGCCATCCAGTGGTAGAAAAATTAACTACCACGCGGGATAGGGTTCGATTTCCTGTCGATGTTGTACTTTTTTTCGTCTTACTTTACACTAGTTAAATTAAATTGAACGGATACAAATATTTAAACAAAAGCAAAAAAAAAAACATTTAGGTTTATGTAAGTCCTTGTTTTTATATAAAATTAACTAACCTTGAATAGCAGATGTAAAGAATAATCACTGACTTCTTATAAGGAACTCAATTATTTCCTTGCACAATATATAAAATATAAAGGACGTTGCTATTGTCTAACTATTAAATAAATCATATAAATAAACGGAAAGTACTAACAGACCTGAAAAATTTCACCTGCGTTAACCATTTGTGCATTGTTTTCGTTTGTTTATAATAAGTAGAAATAAAAATCTTTATCACTTTTGTATTTCAAAACGTATAAATGTCGAAAAACATAATTTAAAATGGTATTAGTACCTTTAAAATGAATGGTTTATGCGCTCTAAAATGGACGCTTGACTTTAATTAAGAAGTTTTATAGTTAGTTGTGCGAGCTCACTTACTATTTATTTATAATTTAGCTAATACTTTTTTAAATTGTTAATTGGAACATTGACATAGGTTAGGGTATGGTTTTAATTGGTTTTTCTAATTAGGTAGGTATTGCATCATATTTTTAATACAGTAAGTAATTCGTTTTATAGTATACTTTTAAAGTTTTGAACATTTCTTAAAAATTGACTGCAGTTTTTTAGCTGTTTTCCGTCTTACAAGTCAGGGCTGGCTCTAACTGAAGGTAGGCCGAGGCCTAAAACTTAAAAAAAGAGGACCTTCGCCCCTTAGGACAGTTTACCTTCTGTCGATTGTGGTTTAATAAAACAAAAATCGTATTTAAATTAATTACTAATTTTCTTGCTTTCAGTTCATATAAAATAACCTTTTATACAGTTATGCTAGATAATAATTAAGATATGTGCAGATTATTAATTATTAATATTAATTTAATTAGT